TCCCCAGGGCATAGTCAAAAGCCCACACTTTTCTCCTGCATGCCAGGTTGTTATGCCATCTACCTATTTAACACCTCCACTTGGATACCTGATACACATCTCAGATTAAACATCTTCAAAATTGAATGTGTTATCTTCCCCCCCTGAAACCTAGAACCTTCCTGCTGTCTTTCCATTCTTCCAATTATTCAAAGCCAAAAGCCTGGGTTCTGCCTTCGAAATATATGCAGAATCAAACCTCTTCTTGCCATCTTCCCTCACTGGTACCACCATTGACCAAGTCACCATCATCTGTGACCTGGATTATTGCAGTAGCCTCCTAAATGGTTTCCTTTCTTCCACACATGCTCCCCAACAGGCTTTTTTCAAGATAGAATCATCCTTTTCATATATGTCAGATAATGTCACTCCTTTGCTCAAAACTCTCAGTTAACTTCCCCTTGCACTCAGAGTAAAAGCCACAGTTTATACAATGACCCTACATGATCAGCCTTTCTCTGATTTCATCTTCTGCTTGGTCTCTTTCTTTCTACTTCAGTCACCTTGGCTTCCTTGTTCTTTTTTAATATGCCAGACATATATCTATTGTAGGACCTTTGCATGTTTTATCCTCTGCCAGGAAAAGCTCTTCTAGATATTTGTATGGCTAACTCTCTTACCTCCTTCACATGTTTTGTCAAATTCATCTTCTCAATGAGGCTTAATAATCATTTTAAAATTGAAAGTTACCTGCACTCCCCACCCCCACACTCTCCCCCTTTACTCAATATTTTTTCATAATAATTTTAACATATATAGTAATATGAGATACTGTTTATTGTCTGTGCCCCAACCCCGCCCCTTTTTGGGTTTTTGATTCATTGAGGTGTATCCCAAATGCCCAGAACAGTGCCTGGTATGCAGTAGGCATTCATTAAGTTTTTATTGAATTAATGGTTTAATGACTTACTAATGGTTTCAAACCCACTTTGAAAACCCACTTTGAAAAATGCTAGTCTAATGGCTAGACTCAGTCCTTAATTTTTCATTTGGGGTAATATATATAACTTTTCAGGATTAATTTTTCATTTTTTAGTTGTTCTCAGTTAATTGTGTTTAGTTAGTTTTGGTTTGTTCAAAGTGTTGGTGTCACTCTAATAGTAGTCTAAATGAAAACCATAACATTCCTTTTCTTATATCATCCCTTGTGTTATATAATTTTTTAAAGCCAGTCATCTACTGTTAGCAATGTGTACTCCCAGATATTTGTCCATGGACAAACATATACTAAATAATACTCATACAGTGTTTCGGAAATTGTATTTTTTGTTTTTTGGATTTTTTTTTTGGTTGGTTTTTTTCATGGTAGTTATTTGTTTTGCACCTAATATTCTGCCATGGACATAGTGTCTTGAGAGGCAGTATAGCATGGTCAGAAAGAGCACGGAGATGAAGGCAGACTGGGTTCAAATCCCAGCTTTGCCCATTACCAGACTTTGGACAAATTACTTAAATTTTTTGTGCCTCTCTTTTCTTATCTCTTAACATGGGAATAATAATAGTACCTACACCATACAGTGTTGTGGAGATCAAATGACGCCTGGTACATGTATGTACATATAAAATGTTAGTTGTCATCACTAGTATTACTTCATTGTTTATCACTGCTATGTAATAGCCCATGTTTTGAAAGTAACATTTTATTTAAGAGTCCTTAATTTGATATATATTTAGGCTGTTCCTAATTCTTCACTGTTACAAATAGTAATCACCTAAGGTTGAGAATGTGTGTTTGCACATTTGTATAATTATTTTCAGAAAATAAATACATAGGTATAGACTTTCAGAGTCTAAAATATAAACACTGTTGTACCAAGGTAACACTTGCACCAACAATGTATCAGTATTTGTCTCCCCACACTCTTACTGATGCTGGATATTATGAGGCTTCAGTATCTTTCTTTGTTTTCTTCTAGTATTTTATGATTGATGAAGTAGTTCTTTCCTCTACTCCTACACCATACTCACATTTTTATTCTATCTGATATATTGAGGTAATCTATTTTTTTCAAATGAGTTATTTTCAGTACTTCCATCTTTTCTCCATTGATTTGAAATGCTACCTGTGTGTCATGTACCAAATTCCTATATATACCTTGATCTCTTTCTAGACCCTTATTCTCTTTCACTGGCCTACCTATTCCTATACAAGTACCATCCGACTTTCATCACTGTAACTTATACCTTCGATATATTAATAGCCCCACTACACACACAGAAGTTACACATTGTTCTTTTTTTTAGTAACAACAATATTTTTCCAGATAACATTTAGAATAATTTTCCTGAATTTTAAAAAGCTGGTCACTGGAATTTTGTTTCAAAGCATTAAAAGTGTAAATTAATTTGGAACGAATTTGTATCTTTACAATATTGAGAATTAGAACTTAAATGTTTATTCAGGGCTTTCATTTTTTAATATGTTATATACTTGTTATAACATGTATTGCTGTGTATTCTATGGTTTTTGTTGCTATTTTGAACATGCTCTTTTTTTCTGTTATAAAGTTTAATATAAGATACTTGTTTTATGTACATGTAAGGTATTAATGTGTGTATAAACACATACACATATAACGGGGTTGCCAAAAAATGTATACAAGTGGACACTTTGGTCAGCGTTGCTCAAGCAATAGTTCACCGTATTCAGAAGTGTCTGGACGCTGATGGGAATCACTTTGAGCTGCTCTTGTAATTGCAGAAGTCAAACGTGACTTGTATTCATTTTTTTGTTATCGGTATATATTGTTAAAATTTAAATACAATTTTCCTTTCTTAAAATGTGTTTACGTTTTTTTGGCACCCTCTGTATTTGTCTTATAGTCACACATCCTTTTATACTCTTTAATACTTCTGCAGTTCTCTTAGATTTTTGAGCCTTACAGTCACATTATATGCAAATAATAAATTTCATCTTTCTAATGTTTATACCACTTGCTTCTTTTTTCTTAATTTGTCATAGTGACTGACTCTAAAATGATGTTGAACAACTGATAGCAGGCATCTTTGTTAATTCTTTGTATGTATATTTAATTCAATTAAATGTTAATTAATGACTTTATTGGTTGTATCACATTGTTACCTCTAATCAGCCTTACTTCAAGGCTTGTTTTATATACCAAAGATCTTTTCCTACTCTAGAAATTATAAGAGCATAATCTTTGGCTAAGAATAAAAAGAGTGGTTAACTATCTGAATCTCTGGAAGTTCACATCTGAGATGAAAGATCTACTCCCTCCAATCCAGTGCCACATTAAAAGTTATGATTAATAGTTTGATTGCAAAATGATATGACATGATGCTTTTCTTTTTTTTTTTCATCCTGAAAATGAATAATAGTCTGGGTGTAACCTTCCTAGATAATTCCATTTTATCAGCTACAAATAGATATGAAGTGTGTTGGCCTGTAGCCTGGGCAGCTAGACCTCAGGGTGCTGCCCATGTGGGTTAGACCTCCACCAGCATTCCCTCAGCCTTTTTGCCCCCTGGAGCAAGTCAGTGCTAGTGACTCCTTGGACCCTGGAAATGCTGATTTTATCTATTTGAGAAGGGCTAAAGGTCAAGTATAACAGGTTGTTCAAGTGTTAAGTTTGAGTTAACTCGCTTAACAATTTAACTCCATCTGGGCAACAGAAAGCCAGAAATTTTAATTGATCTGAAACATAATCAAGAATTAAATGTGTTGGCTTAGTTTTCTTTGACCCGTTAGCTGCCCTTCATTCACAGATAAAGATTATACTTTGGATAATTATTTCATTGTTATAGAAGGAAGAAGAGAAGATTTTCTATGTTTTCTTAAAACTAAGGAAAAGTTTGCCTTTTGTCCACCCCTACCAGTTTCTATATTTATTGGTTGTATGACATTTTTTATTTTTCAGTTTGCATTTAAATTTTAGTTGAAGGAACCAGCTTAATTTTTCAGTTGTCATAATCTTAGCTTTATATCTCTTTTTCCTAACTTAGTAATATTAATATTTTCCCCCAATTTTTATTATGAAAAATGTCAAACAGAAGAGTTATCTCACAGAATGGCCCACATTCTGGGTTTGTCTGGTTGTTTCTTCATGATTAATGTAGGAACTTTTAATCATTGTAGTCTTCATGATTTAGGCTGGTTTGCTGAGAATTTGTGTACGTGTGTCATGGCACTTAATAATTACTAACATTGAATTGAGTGCATTTCATTCTGTTACTGAACATAATCTTAGTGGAGAGATCCTCTAAAGTAAAGGCTCTGAGATCATCCTGATTTTAGAATATCTGTGTTCTAACAACTATTTCCTCTATGGCCTTGAATGAGTTACACAACCATACCTGTGTTATAAAATAAGCAGAATTTCCTACCTTATTTAAAGTTAAGTGGATTTCAGACTGATATCTATAAAACCCATAAAAATGTCAAGTATAGCTAAAATGGTAATAATTAGAGAAATGATTGTAATACTTTTTTGGTCCTTCCAAGCAAGCCTCCATTTAGCGTAAGTGTTTATCCTCAGCAGACATTTCTTGTCTCATCTTTACATTTAGAGGAAAGGGAAAATAACCTTAAATGCCTACTGTGTGGTAAGTAAGCACTGTGTTAGATTCTTCAAATGCAACCTCTCATTTAGTTTTTAAGCCTCCATCTCACTTGTGAAATACGAGTTCCTATTTCCATTTTATAGATAAAAAAGTGAAGGATCAGAGGTATTTAGTAATTCGTTCTATATTACAAACGTAGTAAGTGCCAGAGCCAGACTATAAACACAAATATTTGTAAATTTTCTAAGTTGAGCTTTATTATGAGAACTCTCCTGAATACTTGTGAATGTCATATACATGAGGAAACTCAAAAAAAAGTTCAAATTAAGAATTTATACCATCTTGTTTGTTCTGACAAGAATCATTTAATGTGTTGATAATTTTTTAACTATATTAATTTTGCTGTTATATTACATCTCCTGTCACTGATTCTGTTCTAGGATGTTGGCAAAGGATGAACTGATGACCATACTTCAGAAATGTCTCAATGTTTTTAAGTCCTCTTCTGAAAAGCAGCTTGGCAGCACAGCAAAGAGAATAGAGGAGTTCCTGGCCCAGTTTCAGAGCCTTGATGGTGAGAATATAGTATCTTGCCAATTCTACTGGCTATACAGCCATTTAACTAAAATAACATGGAAAACCCCACATTCTGATGTGTTGAGAGATGAAGGGATAAAGTAGTTCATGATATCAGTATACCAACCCTCAGAATATCACATCTCGACAATCACAAACAGGCCAAGTGGTTCTCTTCTAGATTTGGTTTAAACAATGAAAAGCATCAAATGGGCGGAGGAAAAAGAAAATTCTTTCTCTTGATGAACAGTTTGGAGGACTTACCTTAAAAAAAAAAAATCAAAAAGATTGGAAAGAGTAATGGCATCATAATTAAGGACTGCTTTTAGATTTTTTTTTTCTTGAGCATTTCATCAAGTTCTTTATAGATTTCAAAAACACTGCTAAATCATTTGTAAGCCTGAAAAATGAATACTTGTGAACTGCTTTCACAGCAGCAAGGCTCATTGGTATGCTGATTACCAAACTGCATGAGGTTTGACTTTAATCAAATTTGCAAAACCTTGACGCTTTCAGTGTAAATGAACTGAAGCACTCCTCAGTGCTGGAGGGTTACAGTTCCTTTATCTTCATAACCCCCACATGATCATTTATGTTTGCTTAGTGCTGGGGGTGCCTGATTGTGTACAGGTAGCTGTGCTCTGTTCTCTGACACCCCAGGACTTTGTTCTCATAGGACACCACAGATACCTATCATTAACTTTTCATGGGCTCTTCTCGCGCTCTGTCTCTGTTTCTAGCACCAAAGTATGCTACTCTTTTGGTAAAACAAACAAAATAAGTGTGCATCTTTTATTTACCCCTATTTAGGGAAATTTTTAATGGAATTTGGGGAAAAGAGGCAACTTGAATAATGCATAGGCACACAGATGGACTAGACATGGCCTGGTGAAACTATTTTACTTGGAATGCTCGTATGTGTTCTTTGTCTTGAAAAGTCTTTGGATTTAGGGAACTGCTTTTGCTGAAATCTTTCCATATCTCTCCCTAGCTGCAGTGCTAGGCACCTGATGAGTGCTTAGTCAATGGAAGATGAAAGAGAAAGTTTGTCTGACTAGAGTGGCATGAGCAGGCCGAATGAGGAAGTACTCCTCCACGTTGTGTGTAGGCATCGTTCTTCTGCAGTGTAGCATGAGCGCAACTACTTTTCAGAAGGGCTGGAAATTGTTAATCATAGAGGTCATTGAGTCCAGCGACATACAGAAACTAAAGCCCAGGAAGAGAAAGTAACTTGCTCAGGACCCACAGCTTGCTAGTGGCAGCACCCCAGACTAGAGCCTACCTTTTTTAATCAGCAGCTCGGTTTTTTCTCACAGATTCACAATATAAATGTGCACCCCCTCCCCCGCGCCCGCAATTGTGGTCCCTGGGACAGTGAGGGGCCACCCTTAAGGACATAAATGGGATAAAAGACTTAGAAGAATATAAGATAAATTAGCTAAATCTCAACCTTTTACAAAATTGGACTTAGGGATTTTTGTAAAATGAATGCAAATATAATAATTTTAATTATAGTTCATGTAACGTAAGCTAATGAACAAATTCTGTGATGTGCTAGTACCAAATAAAGGACTATAGCTTAATAGGAAGGTTAGAGATTAAGATTAATAGTGTAAAGAACAAAGAATTTTATAAATTGAAGCAAAACCAGTGTCTTGAAGAGATGTCTGTATTTCCCTATTTTCAAAAGTGACACATTGCTAATAATAAAAGTGAAATTAAAACCCCCTATGTTGGACAAGTAGGAATATTTGACTATATACTATCCCCAGTTCCTTAAATTATTATGTATTATGGTCTGGGTTTAAAATTACAATTGAAGGCTTAAGTAGGTGAGAGCATCATATCAGATTTATTTTTAAGTCTCTGCTATATGTTAATGAAATAGGACAAAGAATTTATTAAACATTTTAAACTCAAATTATATCTTTCTGGATCTAAGAATTAACCATAGCAACAAAGAAATTTATTCTCTGAGAACAATGCAGCTTGTCCAGCTGCATCCTGAGATTAGGCCAGATGACCATGTGAGTGTGAGGTCCTCACCTGCCCTGCGCTAGGAGGAGGGCATTGGAGCCTCATGCTCCCCAGAAGTACAGCTACACCTGTTACCAGATGCGGTTTTCTGTCCCCTTTGCTGAGGAACCCTCGTGCACTTTGTGTTTAAGTAGATTATTTTAGAACTTGCACGGACTACACTCTTGATTACTCAAATAGCATTTTGTTAAACACAGTGCATTGGATGCATTGGAAGGTTGAGGCCAAGCCTGCGAGGGTGTAGCTTTGTGTTGTCTACAATCTGGGCATAATCAAAGGAATACAATTTAAATTCATTTTTTAAAAAGCTGTTTATAACAACACAAAGATCTGGAGCTTTTTGCTGTTGGTCTGGGGGAGGGGGGAGGGGTGTTATTTGTACTTTTTGGTTTTCATTGTGGTCACATTTTTAAAATTCAGTAGCTGGATTTTTCAAGACCTCTCTGCAGCATAACTTATGTAATATTTGTTGACCAGTTTCTGGAAGAAATCATTTATCTAATGGACCCTTGATCCCTTGCCACATTAAAAAAAAAAAAAAGATGCAACTTTATTTCCCTTGGAGTAGAAATGTAGGTTCTCTTGACTTGAATGGATTTACCCTGGTTGCTTTATATTGGTTTTGTATTAATGCAGAAGCTAAAGAGGAAGAAGATACTTCTGGGTCACAGTCAAAGGGGCTGCAGAAGACAGACCTCTATCATCTTCAGAAGGTCAGGTCACTTTCTTTTCTTTTCAACTACATCATGTGACACTCCCTTTTTCTGGTGTGTGCTCTAGATTAACTCTGCCTGAATGTTTTTATTTTCCTTTTTAAACCACAACCAGGAAGAAAGCCGACTTTGTGATTCACTTATAAATTGAACGTCCTGTTTATCCCACTGCCATCTTCATTCTTCATGTATTCAGTCTGGAATTTACTAGTGAACATAGGTGGAAACTGGTTCCTGTAGCCTCAGAGAGAAAAAGAAAATTAACTAGTAATAAGGGAAAATGAGAACATGGTTGCAAAAACCAAACTGATTATTTACATGATCTATTTGTTTTTCTGTTTCATAAAACTGAGACATCCAAAAGAGCCTAACTCATTAGTTTTAGATACCTTTTCTTGATTTTTTTAAATGCATATTAAGCACAGAGCAGAAATTGAGCCACACTATAATAGACCCACTATAATCTTTTTCAGATAGTTCTAACTTGAGAATCTTGGTTGTCAAAGTAAAGAACCTTATTTGTATAGCATGATACCAGGTTATGATAAATGTAGAGTAAAATTTCAGTCTAAGCAAAACAAAACACATGGAATCTATTCTGTTAGTATGGCGGAAAGGCAAGGTGTTTTTTTTCTTCTTGTAAGTCCTCTTCTGAAATGAAGTAATGGGTTGTGGAGAATGAGCACTTTGCCATATAACTTAGTAATGAAGTGAACTGCCCTTTTCCTCTTTCCCTGAAAATTCACTTGATATTATTTGAAGCAAAACACCTAGGAAGAGAGATTCTGTCCAGACTTTAAAAATAAAAACTAAACACAACCCATTTCGATCTGGTTCTTTCTCTGCACATTCTCTTATGGAGAAGGCATCAGCTGCTTCTGCCTGTGCACCAGAGTTCCTTCTGAAGGGTTTTCTTCCTCAGAATCACCAGAAAAAGTATGTTCTTTCATCCACAGTCCTTATTGGAAATGAAGGAATTAAGAAGAACCAGTAAGAAGCCAACCAAGTTTGAAGTCCTTAGAGAACAAGTTGTGAGCTTCATTGACAGTCTGGTGAGGTGAGTCTGGTTGCTCTTAGGAGCTAGAAGTCAGGTTATCACTGGTGTGACATCTGTCCATAGCCAATCTCCTGAATTAGGCTTTATGCTTTTCAGGTGCCTCCTTCCAGCTTAGAATTGTAATTTTTATTCTTTTGCCATTCTTATAAAGATGTCTAGTCAAACGACTTAATTCATTCTTTTACTGCCAGTTCAAAAACACAGGTTTAAATTTGATTAGTTCATTAGGCTGGGCTGAGGGGTGGTGGGGGGAAACAAAGTGTTTCCTCTTTCTAGTAACAAAGTGTTTGCACTGCACTTTATCCTTTATCTTTGCTAGGAGTGTGCTGGACCTGGGACAGCCCAGAAAACAGAGGGAGCTGACTAGCCATGATGTCCTCTTTTATCCTGATTTAAGGACTTCTAATTCTGTACTGTACCAGTGCAACTCATTCTCAGCACTAAATTCATGTTGAGAATTGTACTCATAGTAAATGTATAAGCCCAGCAGTCTTGCCTGTATTTTAAGATGATTCTTTATGGGGAAACCCAGATCTTTATGATTCATGAATTTCCCAAAAGCCAACTTTATGTAGTTGTGTAAGACCACCTACCTAAGCTGCCTTTCAGGCAATTGAGACATGCTATATAAAAACATGAGAAGTGTGAAAAAGAAAATGATTTAATAGTTAAAAAGTAGGAAAAACTTATTTATCTTTGCTTATTGTTTTTTAATGGCAGTTCAAGCTCAGCAGCAGGCTAGGCACAGAATAGAATCAAATACTAAAAAAATAGCAGCTCAGTTATTGAAGACAAAGAAAGAGTGGTTTTCTGATAAATTACCTGACCTTCTTCAAAGTGAAAAGTTCCATTTTCTAAGACAGTGTGAGGGCAGAGTTATTGTTCCTCGTCATTAGGGAGAAATGACTAATGTCATGAAAGAGGTCCAAATGATCAACCAAGTATGACAAAGGTAGGTTAAAGTGAGAGAAATGTGTCATATAAAAGTGAGGCAGTGCAATATTGAGCTGACCTGCTAGCCAGAAATGACCTTAGAATTCAGTTAACCTTGCCCCACTGGCTTTAGTGTTTTTAGAGTTTCTAGCCCTCAGTTCCTGCCTCTTCCCTTTTACCAAGTTGTGACCATGGTAGTTGCTAAAAATGATGATTTTGCAATGTAATTTAGCATAATTTCTAGGCCAAATGTCAGGTTCCTTTCGGAGTTCCCAAAATCCCAAATTGTAGGCTCTGGGACCAAACAACCATTCCCCTTTTGTGATCTTTGACCTAATATGTCTGACTTTGTAGCTTTGTTAGTAGCTACTGAAATAAAGCTGATCATGATTAAAATGTGTTGTTGTGAAATCACAAAATTTTCCATAATAAGATTTACTGCCTTTACCAAGATTGACTGTCCCAGGAGGGAAGAGATTAGGATTTGTAGCCTATTAGAGCTAAAAGGGACCTGAGGAATCACGTGGCAGCAAAGCCCACAGAGGCTGTGACTTGTGGAAAGTCCCTGTACGCTGACATCTGTCAGAAGGCCCTCCCATTTCTCCACACTGTCCCCTGGGACTGTATCACAGATGTTTGAACATAGCTTGGAGCTCTGGAGAAAAGATGTCCTTTCAAGATAAATATAAGCAGTAGACGCGGGCGGGGAGGCAGGGTTCCCCCGAATACCTTGAGCTGCTTTTGCTGAAACTACTAAGAGCTGAGACTAAGTTGCCGCTTTCTAAGTTACCGTTTTCACAAAAATACAAGCTTCAACTTTGTAGCCCTTGTTGGTATACTAAGTGGTTCTACCAGTTCCCTTAAAAACCACCTCTCTTTTGCTTGTGAACTCTGATCTGAATCCAAAATGAGCATCGGGCCATGCTCTAGTGCCAGACACATTGCTTGTTTCTTCTCACAGCAAATAAGTTACAGAAGTATATTTCTTTGTCAATCTCCAAGTTTGTAGTTGGACAAAAATTCTGTATGATATTTTGTCACTGTTAAACTAATGTAGCCCAGTGGAAACAAAATACAGGCAAATATTTTGCCTCTGGTGGAGGTTCTTTGAGGATATCCAAAAAGGCCTTTTGCCTTGGGAATTAACTGAATTTCTAAAAATTAAAGATGTTAAATTTAAAAAGGGAGAGAAGTACAAATGTGAGACAGTGGTTTTTTCTGAAATTGACTACCTGGTTGCCTTGTGAGATTTCCAGTCCTTATTACATAGCAGGGACTTCAACAGGGTCTTTCATTATTGGGGAGAAACAGCCTGAGGTTGGTATAGGAAGAATTTATGGTCAGAAATTACAAATGGGTAGCCAGCCAGCCAGGGAGGCAGTCAGCGTCACAGAAGCCATTCCTGAGGCTACAGCTAAATTCACTTAATCTTGAAGGGCTGGCCGAGTGGCTCAGTTGGTTAAGAGCTCGCTTAAGAGTTTAAGCTCTGAGCAACAGCGGTTCGATTCCCGGCCTGAGCTGAGCAGCCGCTGAGCTGCCAACAGGTGGCAGGATGGCTCAGCTTAAAAAAAAAAATTATATAAATTCACTTAATCTTGAGTAAGATGTTAGCAGTACTTGAGGTATAGAATGCTGGTCCTTTGGGCCAAGTCAAAACCGTAGACTCTTTGCAAATGCATGTGCTAGGATTGACTGTGGAGGAGTAGCCTGTAGAGTTGGAACGAGCAGGGGGGCCAAGAGCCCCTGAGACGGGGAGGCGTGACCTACGTGACTGGTAGTCTCTTCACCTTTTCTCTTCCTCAAAGCCACCCACCACATGGGGGGAGCAGGTGTAAAGGGATTTTCTAGGCAGTGGTACCCTCTCCAGAAGGAAAGGAGAAAGCAAGGACACCAGGAAGAAGTGGGTAACTTACCTGGGGGCTTGGCTGAGGTAAATGCTTTGCTCTGACTGCACTGGTGGGAAAAGCAGCTGACACAAATCTGTCATGTGGCCAAAATACTTTAAGCTGAGGACTGGACTATAAGCCCCAGGAATCTTTATGAAGGCATGTGAGTTAACTACTTTAATCACATTAGTGACTTATTACTCCATCTTTGGGTTGTGTGTGCCAAAGCTTTTCCCTTCCAATTTGCTACCCTCCAGGCCACCAAAGAGCGATGTCACTGTCATGGCAGAAACTAGCTGATGGGCTCATTATATAATACATTCAGTGAACTTTTTAATGTTTTATTTTTTAAGTTCAGATTTCATTAAAATTGGTTTGTCATGTAGCTCATATATAAGAGAGAAGAGTGCCAAATTACAGTTTTAATAATTGAAATTTTAATGAACTAGTTTTTTTTTTTCAATCTTCTGAAGCTAAAATTTAGCCTTTTTTGCCTTCCAATGTAAAAGGTAATTCTAACATATAAAAAACTTTCCAGGTATTATTTCTATGAGAGAGATTAAACCATTTTCTGTGATCCAAAAAGAAGTTTCTAAACTCTTAATTCCAGACCTGAGGTTTATATTTAACACTGCCAAGAGTGAATGTTTGCTATGGTAAGGCATGTGGATATCTCAGTTTTCTAAACAATTTACTTTTAGAAAGTATTCATGAATACTTTTAAGAAATTCTACCTTGAAGATTTTGAGCAAAAATGTAATTTATGTGCATTTGTTCCTAACAGTTTAAATTAGAACTGAAATACAGTGTCTTGTACTCCAGAGTCTGGAAGTTACTGAAAATATATGGAGGAGGTACAATTCTCAGTGAACCTGCACTGGATTTGATATTTGGGTTTTGTTTCATTTGTTTTTGGTGGTGGTTGAATTTGCTCTTTAAATTGCACAGTCTTCCACAGAGGACTGCCAAAAATGTTATATTGAAATTACACCCACGCTTATCTAAAAGCTGCTCCCTGACTTGGCTGTTTCAGAGAACACCTCCTCACCCCCGAGACGCAGCCTCTGCACGAGGCTGTGTACTGCAGCGCTGCCCATGCCCTTCGGGAGCGCCTCAATGCTGCACCCCGCATGGCCCTCCACACCGCGCTGAACAACCCTTACTATTATCTCAAGGTAGGAAGCATGTTATTTTCTCTGGCATTTTACTTCAGACTCCACAAAAATATTTAGCACAAAAATATTGTAAATTGGTAGTTCTAATGAGCAGGGACTTAGTTGGCAGCTCAGGATTGCACCTCTTTCAGATACTTTTAAAAATCCTTTAGACTTTAGAGGGCGTTTTCTAAGCCTGTGAAAATACTGATTAGTAGTCAACTAATGCAGCCAACTTTGGATCGTGTGTAAATGTCTTCCCCTTCATGTGATAAAGCCAGATCATAGGCACCAAAACTCAAACATAATGCTACTACTCTTCTGAAAATAAAGGAAATGTTTTGTACCATAACAGCAAATAATGGGTCAAAGTATATGGCCTAAGGAAATTACTTAACAGTTCCAATAGTTGTTTCTGATGGAAAAAAGAAACACTTTGGGGTTTTATCTTGCATATTTATTTATTATTTATTTATTTACTTTTAAGATTTTATTGGGGAATTGGGGAAGGGGAACAGCCAAGTTGTCCTTCAGTCTTAGTTTTGGAGGGCACAGCTAGCTCAGCTCCAAGTCCAGTTGCCATCCGGCTGCCCTTCACCAGCTCTTGGCCATGCGGCTCAAGGTGCCGTGTTCAATCTTAGTTGCGGGTGGGTGTAGCCCCCCATCCCATGCAGAGTCAGACCAGAAACCTTGTTGTTAGAACCGTGTCTCTCAGCAGCTGAGCCATCCTGCCACCTGTTGGCAGCTCAGCAGCAGCTCAGCTCGGGCACAGCTCACTGGCCCATGAGGGAATTGAACCAGCAACCCTGTTGCCCAGCGCTCGTGCTCTTAACCAACTGAGCCATTCGGCTGCCCCCAATGGATTTTAAACCAAAGATAGATCTACTCTGAGAGTATCTCCAGAGCTATGTGGAGAGGATGGCTAGCAATGTGCCAGGAATAAAACTCCAAAAATCTAGACACATTTGCTAGTTAACACTTTGTAAGTGGGCATTTTCCTGCCAAATCAGTACAATCACTAACTTGCTTGTGTGTATGTTATTTTGCAGTATGGATGAATATTACTAATTGTTTTGTTTTCGAAGGATGCTACTCTTTACCAAAAATGCTAATTACAGCTAATGATTTGCTCCTCCATTATACTATGTTTTTTGTCTTCTTTATAAAACTTAATAAAAAGCGCTATGACGAGTTTACTCGTTTCCCGCAAACAGTGTGTTAAAGTTACCAACTCAATTAAGCATCTAGAAATCTTGCCACAAAGGACACCATAAAACCAGCGTACTGGTTTCCCATTATAAAATGGCACAGACATGCTAAACATTACAAGAGAATGCTGAGGAGGAAGATATAAATCAGTGGTTTTCAATGATGGTGGTAGCGGGGAGCTACCCCATTAATGATTTAAAAATAAAATCATTTTTATTATATAAAACACATTAAACCTTTCAAAATATTTTTGGTTAGTGGTAGGTCACAGGAAAGAACTGGTGTGATTTCAGTAGTCTTTGGGAGTATATATTATAATCTCTGTGTATGTTTGAGAGAGATTCTGTTTCTCAAGAACCATGGATTTCATATAAGTTGAAAAACACTGATGGTTTTTGTGGGGGTTAGAATCTGCAGTGTTGACAAGTCTTTCTTTGAGAGATAACTTATAGCCTTGATAGTGGTGTGTTGGTATTTATAATTGCTAGAATTCAGATAATTTCAAGTGTTGGAAGTGGCATTTTATTGAAAATCCAAAGAATTCCATAAACTTTTTATGGAAACCAGAAATGCATTAGGATCTCAGAAACTAATGTATGATTAAAATCAAAAAAGAAAATAATTTGTGATTAAAATTAATATGCTTGTCTTCTGATCCTGGGAGTTTTCTTCTAGTGAATAGGAGCTAGGGGGATGATGACCAAGACCTAACCCTAAACAAGCATGAGCTAACTATTGGCGAGTAAATGCAATTCACTAAATAAAGAAAACCAAAGACTCCAGTTACTGGCTTACTAAGTTTAGGTTAGGGGGTTTATTAATGTCTGATTTTGTTCCTCATCATTTTTCTCAAAGATAGTCATCTTAGTTTACTGTTCCTCTTAGAATGAAGCACTGAAAAGTGAAGAAGGCTGCATTCCAAATGTCGCCCCGGACATCTGCATAGCATATAAGCTGCACCTAGAGTGCAGCAGGCTCATCAACCTTGTGGACTGGTCAGAGGTAGGTCAGGGGGAAAAGAGCAAGCTGTGTATGTTTACCATCCATGAGAACTTTCCTGCGATATCTTTATTCTTTTGGTACTTTGGAACTCATGTTTATTTAATGTCCTGTCTTTTGTTTGGAAAGCATCCATCACCTCATACCTCAAGTTCCTCCAGAAAAGCAGCTCCCTGCACCAGTCCCACCCCCAATCCCCTGTACTCTAACCTCACACGCCTCAACCAAGCCAGTGCTGTGTTCATGCGGGTCAGAATAAGTATGGGATCAAACCCCAGTTAACAGTAAGCAAAAGCTAAACAGGGAAGTCAGTTCTGTTATTCTACAAAACAGTGTAGTAAGTAGCATTTCCCTTATTGCGTAAACGAAAAAAAAATTGGAATTTGGCAATCAGGAAGTACAAGGAATACTTGGCAAGGCAGTGGACAACTGTTATTATAAGTATTCTTTCCCTCCTCAGAATATTAGAATGTTAACTCTGTTGAAGGCCCTTTTGACAGATGTTTTGCCATCATTTAAAAATATTCATAATTGGCTGCTTCCAAGAAAAATAGGCATTTTCCTAGGGTAATGGAGGTTGAGGAGTATAGGATACAGGGCATCCTTTGCTGTTTAACTCTGACCAGTTTTGTTTTCTCAGCACATTTCTTAGTTCACTGAAAATAAGATTATTCAGGAAATATCCTGTTAGCATTTAATGTGTACTTGATTTAAAGTGATCGTCAATATAGTTTTGAGAATGTGAAATTTGGTATAATTTAAAAAAATGTGCCCATCAAGCAGCAGCAGTGCTTGACATAGGTTCATACAGAGCCATCAAGTGCAATTAAAGCTGTCTGGCAACTGGTAGAGATTTTTATTTTCTTTTGTCTTGTTTCTCAAAAGGCTTTTGCAACAGTTGTGACAGCTGCTGAAAAAATGGATGCAAATTCTATAACCTCAGAAGAAAGAAATGAAATTATCCAGTATCCTTTAAAAACCATTTCTGCAATGTCCAATACATAATGTTTGATTTCTCCAGATCTACATTAGATTTATAAAGCATGTGCCAACCAACTTTATTACTTGTTAATATTAACCATACCATCCCAGAATAGCTCATTTCTAAGTATTTATTCCAAAGTTAATCTAAAATATTTGGTCTAAAACTTGTATCAAGGACATATTCCATAATTCATCAAAAACACAAAACTGTCATTGAGTTCTCTATTTCTATAAGGTTACTTATGTAATTTTAGAAGTGGAGGGACAATTTTCATACTATGAAAAATTAGAATTAGGTAAGCATTAAGCACTTTTCTATTTGTGTCTTATTGACAGTGGATTCTGATTACATTTAATGTTTCCCAGTAAGGGGTATAGTTTAATTTAGAATGTATTTTATTTATACTTCAAGTTACCAAGTAATGTTTTAACACTGAGATTTTAACCTCTTTTTGTCAAAATACAGCATGGCCAATTTCCTTAGCTATAGCCTCCAGTGCTCGGTTTATTAGAGCTGTTTCTGAACTAGAACTTTTAGGATTTATAAAACCTACCAAAAAGAAGACTGATCACGTGGCAAGGCTAACATGGGGAGGCTGCTAGAAAGCAAATGAAGCCAGAAGGATCACACTTAGCGTACGAGGCCAGTCGTACTTACATATCACTAGAGGAAGACTTTTGGCGAGAAAAAGAAATTTGTAATCCTAGTGTGTTTAACCAGAAAGTAGACTGCTAACCCCAAACAGGAATATATCAGAACACCTTTGGAGTACTTTAGAATCCAACAAATAACGTGCTTAACGTTGTAGCTAAAACCTCTCTCACATTATCACTGTAATTTTCGTATCATTAATAAATTGTTCTTGAACATAGTGTGTAAATGTAATATTCTTTTATCCAGGAGTATAAATTATTTGCAGTTGATTAAATAGTCCTCATGTCTGCTCCAAGATATTTTGGGGACAAATGGGGAAATCTGAATATGGACTGGATGTTAACTTAGGGAAGTACCAAGTAGGATAATGGTACCGAAGATATGTAGAAGAACCCATTTTAGGAGCTGCAGCTTGTATGTTCTCTGCAACAGTTAAACATACATACATACATACATATATATATATATATATATGTATATATATATATATATATGGCAAATGTGGTATAGTAACTAAGTGGATCATTGGACTGTTCTTTCAACTTTTCTGTTTTAATGATTTCCTAATTAAAAAGTGTCAAGTATGTGGGAGGGATTGGAAGTTTAGAAAATTCTTGAGTTTGCTCTAAAGGTTATAGAGCAGAAAAAAGGTTATTGAATAGAGGGAGAGAGATTAAAGGACAAAAGATTTTTAATAGCATGTCTCATGTTTATGGGAATAAACTAGTAGGAAAATGGATGCAGGAGAGAGCACTGCTGGAACTGTGTCTTGGAATGAAACGAATTTGGATCGAATTCTCCTTACCTAGGGCAAACATAGAATTGCTGGTGTCATGTCTGAATAGACTAGGACAGGGTATTAGGTGCTTTAGCAGAATATTCATTTATGAACACCAATTACTGTATAATTTTGAAGTAAGGGAGTAAAAACCCAAAGACAATCACTTCCAACCTTAGTTGCTTGGATCACCTAAGGAGCATATTAAACAGAGTCCAAGTCTTCCCCTCCTCCATCTTCTAAAGCAGTCTCTGGGGGTAGAACCTGGGATCTTTCCTATAAGTTCTCCAGTTAATATTGCTAATGCAATAAATGTGTCATTTGGAAACCATTTTCTTGAGGGATGTAAGTTCTTGCCATAGGCCAAAGATAGCTTTGATATTTTAAACCTCTCATACATTTTTCTCAGATTGCCTATTCTTATTCTCAGAAATACGAAGAATTATACTGGCAATGTGCCCTTGTTAATCAGGGATTTATTGAACACATTACAGTAACCTAAGTACTGCACCATACCAGCACTGCCTTTTAGTAAAAGAATGACAACTTTATTAAAAGCAATTCCAGGGACCTTTGGGAATTCAGAATCTCTAGGTAGCTAATATAACCTTTCTTACTGAGGTCAAGTATGGTTGGTATTTGGACTAGTCATCAACTGTTGGGTACATCTAACTAAATCCAAGAAGTTGCCCACCTTTTTTTCTGCAATTACCACACACTGTTTAAAATCAGTAAGTAGCCCATAGCTAGAACTTTTTGGTAAGGTGATAAGAAATCTGGCTGTGGAGGAAATTTTATTCTTGATCAAAGTTGAATCTAGAATTAAAACCATATTACAGGCATACCTTTATTGTGCTTTGCTTTATTGCACTTCCCAGATACTGCGTTTTCACCAACATTGAGGCAAGACCCTCCTCCAGCAGCAAAATAAGAACTCATGGAGGCTCAGATGGTTAGCATTTTTTATCAAGAGTATTTTAAAATTAAGGTATGTAATATGTACATTGTTTTTAGAAATGCTATTGTACACTAAATAGACTATAATATAGTGTAAATATAACTTTTATATGCACTGGGAAATCAAACAATTTATGTGAGTTTATTGTGATACTCGCTTTATTGCTGTGGTCTGGAACGGAACCCGCAGTGTCTCCGAGGTGTGCCTGTGGCTCCATTCAGATGAGTTTCCCTGTTAGTGTATCTTGTATGACAACCAGTTCTCTTATAAATTTAAATCTGAAAATTCACACATGCTCATTTAAAAGAATGTTCATTGTTTGCCTTTACTGGGATTTAAGAAGAGATAAAATGTATTTACATTCCCTTTACTCCCACTCCTTCGTATTTTAACTTACTACTTGCATTCTCCTAAAAATGCTATCCCACTATACCAGTGGTTCTCAGCTGAGGACTGTTTTCCTCCCCTCTTCCCAACATTTGGCAGTACCTGGAGGTACATTTGGTTGTCACAACGTGGGGGGGAAAAAGATGCTACTGGCATCTAGTGGTAGAGGCCAGAGGTGCTGCTGAACATCCCACACTGCGCAGGACAGCTCCACAGCCAGGAAGATCTGGCTCAAATTGTCAAGTGTTGAGGTTGAGAATCTCTGTATTAATCCATTAAAACCAGGTGGAATTATCCAGCTTATTTATGGCCACCCTGTGTTATACCAGTGTTTCGCAAACACTTACCGGGCACCATGAATTATCTGAGGAGCTTGTGAAAGCCCTATTTTGGCCTTGTTTTAAATAACTGGTAAAATATAATCACCAAAGTTAAAAAGGAAAAAAAATCATTTTTCTTTCTTCCACAAATTATATCAATTATAAATATGTATGTCCCAGTATATTTATGATTGGTTTAATTAGTGGAAATCTGCTAATAGAACTCAACAAAATAATTCATTGAAGCATTTTGTGCTTACTTCTGTAGTATTGGAAGGCTATGTTTGAAAAGCATGTATTGAAAGTGAGTTAAATGTGCTTTTATATAGCTATTGTCCTTTAAAAAACTTGGATTCTGCTGATAATATTTGAGGTAAAAATTCCACAGCTGTTAAAATTGATCAGTTATGTAACATTCTATTATGCAGTCAGTTTATAAGAGAAGCAATTTGGAATCAGACTCAGGTTTTGAAAACAGCACTCAAATCTTAGATTCGGTAAATGAAAAGATTGGTTTTTAAACCTCATCAAAAAATTTCACTGATTACTGGAAAATGCTCACACTTAAAACACTAGCTTTATTCAAATACTACCCATCTGTATATTAAAAAACAAGCAGGTTAGAAGTAAATGTTTTATTCTTCCAACTAAATTCCAGTACTACAAGGGCAGTAAAACAATGATACACTGGGGGGGGGGGGAAATGCGGCAATAAACATTTGTTAAAAAGACTGATAGAATAAATAAAAACTACCGAGAGAGAGAAAGAGAGAGAGAGAGACAGAGAGAAAGAGAAAATCATATAAACCCATTCTGAAGCCCCAAGAAGTCCTGGAATACAGAAATGCCCTCCTCCACTATTTCACAGGAAGCACTGTAGGCTATTTGCTTGATAATGTCCTGGGATTACATTCTAAATTATTAATAACTGGTTACATCGTGGTTGTAGTGCACAATTAAAATCACACTAACTTCATCTGAAGTGTCATTCTACAGTTTTATTTACACAACCAGTGAAGGGCATGTTCTTAGAATACCAGCTTTAATCCTTTTCAAACATATTAATATAAGAAGCCAAATTGTAATGATACAGCAAATGAGGCCACTGGTATTAATACAGGTGGCAAAGGTCCACATCCGGGTGGTACTGACATCAGGAAAATTTCCAAAACCAGTTGCTGCCTAAGAGTGGTTGCCACTGACGAAAGCTTGAAATAACCTGTATTCACAGGGGGGTATTGGCATTGCTGCATGTCATAATTGGGACCTCTTGCAACAACTCAACAAGGAACAAGGCAGCCCACAAATGCAGAAATGTGATTCATGAAACATCTAAAGGGGGAGAAAAGGAAAATTAGTGCAAAGTCCAGTTCAGAATTCAAACACATACCAGATCTTTATCCCCAATACTGTCCTAGGTATTTAAGTAACCAAAAATAAGCCTTAGTAAACTCTGCTGCCTATTTCCTCATTTTGTTTAATTTTCTTCTTGGGTATAAAGATAATTATATAGTAAATGTCTTCTTAAGACTGTCTTGTTTTCAGTTCATATATGCAATACTTACAACTAGCAGGCTGTTCTCCATATCGTCGCATTATTTGATCATGTGTAAACTTCACAAATGCATCATATTGTTCTATAAATAAAGGGTACATGTCAATTACATGACTTGCAAAATGCCCTCTCTAATAAATTAGAGCCAGATAAACTGAAAAATACAATATGTATAGTGAAACAATTCTAAGCTGGCACTTGTCACACACAAAACATCAGCAATAATAGCATATCAAATGGAAACCAACATTTTAGTCCAAAAAACCTTATAGGCTGTGTGGGGATTATTTCTTAACCTATTGAAAATAAAAGGCTTGGGGGGAAAAAGCTTATCTTTCTACTCTGAAAGTTTATTATAAGTGGTCTATGAATGGCAATTTATTGCAATGAGAGGAAATAAGATACCAAAAGCTAAAAAAAAAGACGATTCACCCAAAAACATCCACCTAAAACCTAATTAGATGCCACAGAAGATGTCATATAACTAAACAAATTCTCTTGCCTATATTAGCACCTTAACTCTTAAGAATCAAACAACTTAACAATATATTGATATCCAGTAAAATCTGTGCCATAAAATCTGGAGGGGGATTTTGATTAAGTTGCCATACATAACAAATTTTATTTACTGCAATTAAGTTACCAAATTTTACTAAAAAATTTTTTTGGATGAGACTGCAGCAGCTTGATACTCTATAATGATGTACACTGTGCCAGTTAGGTTATGTCAAGTTTCTAGACTTATGGCAAAGTTATCATAAAACAAAAATCCAAAAATCCAACCAAATTGAGTTAAACTGTCAAAGTCAAGTTTTAGCACAAGGTACATCAAAAGAAAAATCTAGTTCACTAATAATACTGCTGCTGATCTACATGACTACCAAATACTGTGTCTTGAGGTCACTAAAGGGCCTTGAGCTACAGAAACGTTTCCTTTCATGAACTGCAATTCTCTGGTTCTTAGAAAATATTGTACCAGTATAAAGTAATTTAAATGATGTGAAGTACGCATGGGAAATAAGGCATTTCTTATGGTGAGTTTCTGGAAGACTGTAGATAAACTCATCTCATACCTGCAAGTTTTGTGTTCAGTATTTCTTCATACTCTTCTCGAACTTTCTCTTCACGTTCTTTCAACAAACGTTCACAGATCATCCCGACCTGCCGTAGAGTGAATAAGGGCTGTTCTTTTTTTAATGGTGAGGATGTTTCAGACGAAGTCCCTGTGGATAACATGAACAGCAACAACAAAAAGCACCTGATTTAGAGCTATCATAGAAAGCGTCTTCTAACAGAAGAGGTTTCATTTGGATCTTTTGCTTGTGACTGGAGAAATATAGCAAGATGTATGCAATCAAATACAAGGGAAAAAGTCTGAAAGTGAGTGGAGAAAACTACAAAATACAAACAAAACAAAGTTTTTGTTTTTTAATTAGTGATAACTAGTTAGGAGACCCCTTTGTAAAAATAAATACTGAGAATATATTCCTAATCAGTATTTGATGGTTCAGAGTCCTTAGAGATTATTAATCTAACAGCCACTTGGCATTATATGTAATATAAAAGATTTCTTCAAAATTCATTCTTCTTCAAGTACTATACTTAAGGCAATCAATTTTCCAAAAACATCATTCCTCATTTCTTCAAACATCTGACATTAATCTTTTTGAGAACTCGGGATTATGATAACCATCCATTATAACACTGTTGCACACATTTTATGCACGTATAAATAACATGGATTTGCTAGCAATTGTTTGTCCTGCTCTGTGTATCTGTTTCTGGTGTAGCTCTAATTCCTCTTTTCACTTGCCCCTTCTAACCTGCACGGCTGGGACCAGTTATATACTTGTTAGAGCTGTGTCTATCACGAGAATAAAGTATACCAGAGCTTTATTTATACCAGCCAAAATAGTCCATAACTACTAAAGCTATCTTTGTTTACTTTGAAATTCTCAGCTTTGTTGAGGCTGCCAGTTAATTGATCTAAGAAATTGACTAATGAATAATAATCTTTCCTGCCGATATAATGTAGTCTACCCTCACCTCCCTTTACCACATTTCACCCCACATACCGTATTTTGCCGTGTGTAATGTGTACTTTTTTGCCCAAATTTGTGAGGGAAAATAAGGATGCGCATTATACATGGGTAGTACTAATTCTGTATCTATACAAATGTTTTTAATTCTTTTATTTATGATTTTGCGTTAAAAGTGTAACTCTAGAAATCAATAATGATATCCGTATGCAAAATAATACCCTAGAATATGATAATCGGTTTTGTTGCACTTACGACGATTTGTAATGACGAAGAGTTCTTGGCCTTCTATGATGCTTAAATATTGTAAATTTGTTACATGTACATAAAATTTCTTGTACCTTGTATCTGGTTTTTGTGTTCTGTAATTATGTTACATAAAATTTCTTGTACCATAGTATGTTAAAAAACAAATGCTAAAATTCCTTTATAATACAAATAACAAGTACCTAAATGTAAACAAATAAAAGTTTGAAATGAAAGATTTTTTCTCTGAAAGTTTGGGCCTAAAACATGGGTGCCCATTATACACAGGAGCGCATTATACACAGCAAAATATGGTATACCTGGCCTCCCAAATTGGCAGGAGTACTGTAGAATTTATTTTGAACAAGTTCATGTTTCCTCACCTAACTTTATTTCACTGTTTTATAGCCTTTGAATGTTTTTTTTTTTTTTTCTGCCAAGTTTTCCTATCCCTGCAGGTAACTACTGTCACAAGAAAAACTGTTTTGCTGAGAACCTGACTAAAGGTTAAGAGCCACTTTTGATGGTTCTTTTTCAGTAAGAAGCTTTACTTCCCCTTCACTTCAAGTAGCCCTCACTTTCCTGTCCTTTTTTAAAAGTGTATTTGCAAACTACTCCCTCCCACAAAAGGTAAGTAAAAACAACATACACTCAAAAGAATCCACTTTTAAGAATCCTAATAGGACAAGTGCATGAGGGTATATGTACAGGGACATTTTTGTAAATACTGTGAATCTAATGGTTAAATAATTAGGGAAATCCATATGTCATAGTATTCAGCTATGGCAAGGTACATGTATAACAGACAAGCACATGGTATATATACTGTTACTTTTTTTAATAGAAGCTGCATATCATAGCACTTACGGGAAAGTCCACTTAGGGGATTTTATATACAGGTGGTTGTCTTTGGGTAGTGTGAATCCAGACAGCGATTACTTATTTTGTGCCCTATTTTTAAGAGTTCATGCATTACTTGTATAAGTGTTTTTTTGTTTGTTTGTTTTTAAATCAAGGGGAGAAATAGGAGCGTGAATAACTAAAGGAATACCTTTTCCCATACTAAACAGTTCCTTTCACTTTCACTTATTTAGTTTATTATTACCTGGTGAAGCTGGTCCACTGAGGAGAAATGCATGTGGCTGTGCGTCAGAAGTACAACATGGATCCGTCTGTTGGAAACTAGCTTCTAAATGTCTTCTCTTCTGCATGCGTTTATATTCTTGTTTTATGTTGTACAGAATTTGTTCTAAGAAAAAAGTTAAAATTTGGCAAGATAAAAACTTTCAAATTTAAACAAAAAACGGTTGGGTTTCCAACAATTATTTAGGAGAACTAATCTACTGAAAATATTCTCTTCAAATATCCAGAAAACTGATGTTCTGGGAGGGATTAGTTTCAGCATTAACGAACGGGGGACACTCATTTAGAAACAGCGCATACACAACACCTGAAATTCAGCTATTCTACAATACCTTTCTTTTTGAGCACGGATTAGCAAAAAATAAAAGTTCTTTTCGCTCCATGTAAAGATAAGGGGAGTGTGAACTAAAACATATAACTTACTCAGATTCTTAAGAGTCCCAAACTCAAAGGTCATTTATTCATCACACACAGAACTATTCAACTAACAGGCTTTTCCTAGACCATAATGAGAAGTGGGGAGGACTACGTATATACAAGCATATGCCCGTGGGAAGTGACAGCAGGTCAACAAAATGACAGAATAGATGGGAACTAATGGTCATAACCATTAATATTAAGATAAACAGAACCTATGAATATTACAGCATTAACAGCAAAGTTTTGTTCTGCATCTTACGGGTAAAGATCCATGTAAAGTGATTGGTACTTTACAGGTACGCGGTAAGAACCACACCACCACAGAGCCGTTATCTTCAACCACAATCATGGACTTGGGTGAAATTATTATCGAGCAGTGTGATTTATTTTAGAAAGCGTTCTAATTCAAAATAGTTACCATTTAGCTTCTCCCGGAAATCCCTCCCTGAAGTTTCCTATGCCTCTCCAAACAGACTTTCTCACAACCACCACAGCTCCTAAATTAACAGGCTATCCATGTGAAACTGCAACAGGCCCTTGAGTAACATTTTGTTCAATGTCGTTTCCTTATAACAGTGATGAGATGCCACTTGTTTATATCAATTAGCCTATGGTAAAACTGGTTTCATTATAACGTCATTTCACGTAATGTGGCAGAACCTATCAATGACATGAAGTGAGGACTTACTGTACATCCCAAGAAATTAATCCCAATCCAAAGCAAAATTAAACAAAAATTAAAAGTTATGGTGGCAACTAACAGGCAATAAAATGATTCATAAATATAATGGAGTATAATTTTAGCAATTCTACAATGATGCATTAACTTAAAAATGAACTAAAAAACTCAACTGAAGGCTAAAGATTTATGTGAGAACAATCCTTTTTTAAAAATTGATACTGGTGGTTTTCTTAGGTATATACTTAATTCTCATGTCTCTTTTCTCACTTTATTTTGTTTCCCTAGCAAGAATTTAGGGCTTTTGAGAGAGACTCTAAGGTGACATCCTCAATCAGTCCCTTCAACATTTTAGATTATGCCATTTCATTATTTTAACTAGAAAAAAAAGGGGAAGAAAAATTGCAAAAGATATACCCAGTGAAGATTCCATTTATGTAAATATTGTGTATAAACAAACCTGTTTACATATACATGAGTGTGCAGCTTAAGCACAAAATCCCACATTGGAAGGATTGACTTTCAGGGTGGTTTTGTGAGGGATAATTCAGATATATTTAATATTTTTCAGAATGTTAACATTTGTTTATATTAAAGTTATTTTCAGTCTCTATTCATTTGAAATAGTTTATAATTTAAAAACAAAGTTACCAGTGTGACATAAAATGGCTGTCTATTGAACAATTAAGCTCCTTGATAGAAACAGATTTCCTAAGTTTCACAGAGGTGTCCACTAAAACTGGTGCAACATCCCATACCAACCAGGACAAGCTCACATATTCTTATTTTTTAATAAAAGAACTTTCAGTAACAATATTCTAAAAGGTTTCAAAGTAATGATGGTTTGATCTCTGATAAGACAGCAAGCTTCATCCATCACTTTCTGCTCCAAGCTACCATCATCCTGATCATTCAAAGCATCCTCAAGTTTATTCACAAACAGAAACTTCAAATACACTAGTAGAGTAAGCTGACTGTAGCTTCTGTATGACTTTATTCTTTGATCACCACCGCTGTTCTCAGATTACTTTAGTCTTCCTTTTGCTTCACAAAATCAACCAAAACACAACTAAGATGTACCAAAAAAATAGTTGTAACAAAGTTAATGTGTTCGTTTGATAGTCTCAAAAAAACATCTAGCTTAGCATTAAGACATGATTAAACTTTTAAAAATTTAGCTTTATAAACCTCCATACAATAGAGGCATCATAACAAGCTAAGGAATTGTAAGATGTAATTTACAAATGAATCTACCAATTTAAATGTATACTTCGATGAGTTCTGATAAGTGCATAGTCTTGAAACCACCATGGCCATAAGAACTTTATTACCCCAAAAAGCTCTCTCATGCTCCTATTCACCACCGCCACCACTAATCTATTGTCACTATAGTTTTGCCTCTTCTAAAATTTCATATAAATGGAATCATAGAGTGTAGACTTTTGTGTCTGACTTCTTTCACTCAGCAAAATGCTTTTGAGATTCATAATGATATCACATGAATCAGTAATTCCTTTTTATTAATGAGTATACCATTGTCCATTGTGTATGGAATACTCATTAACTCATCCCATAACTTATCCATTCTCCCTTTAATGGATTGTTTCCAATTTGGGGCTATTATGAATATTCAAATACAAGTCTATAGGTGACCAAATTTTCAATTCTCTTGGGTAAATACCCACAATTGGGACTCGATGGCCTGATTACATGGTAAGTGAATGACTTTACTTTAAATTGCCAAACCTCTTTCCAGAGTAATTATACGTTTGCATTCCCACCAGCAATGAATGTTCTAGCTGCTCCACGTCTTCGCCAGCACTTGGTATTCTCAGAGCTAAAGAATTTTGAATGCTATTGCCTGCACTGCTTTTTACATCTAATATGATGCAACTATGTCATCTAAGCCTCAATGCCTTCAAATGCTCTTAATACTGGAGATTCATGATCAACACTGTTATGCAGTGACTGGTCCAATTCAACTTGACCAAGATCTCAGCAGCACAAGTAGCAAACAGCTAACGAAGCCTCAAGCTCAATGTATCTCAGTTCAAAGGTATATAAGCAATTTTGAAGCTGGTAACTCAAGAAATTTCCCCAGATTCAATTCAATACCGTAACTTACATTTTAAGCTCCACCTAGATATTTGCCTAAGTTGATTCCATACCAGCTAGATAAAGGCCTTCCAGTCATCTACCAAGTACCTATATTCCCTTAGTCTTAAACTACTTGAATCTAGCCATCTCTTATCAAACTAGCAAGTAACATTTTATTCCAAATATATGTAACATCTCACATTGTATTACCTACACAATTTATGGTGCATTAGAGAAAAAGTCAGCTTCATTTACATGATCAGTTGCACATTTCAGTTTTAATCATGCAGCCTTCGTACTTATGAAGCACAGACTCAAATTTGCAGCACATCACTTAGAGCAAAATATGTGGTTATCTTCATGACAATTTACACCACAAATGGTTGTATATATCCCATTTCAAAATCCTAAAAACTACATCACTCTTTTACCACAGAATATGCTAAGACTTTTTTCCACTGTACTATGCTAAGTGAAAGTGATTACTAGCAAGTTCTATGACTAATGGCATTTTCATTCCCAAATCTAGTAAATGCCACTGAGATTGTGAATAAAACTCTTCTCCTTTAACAGGCAGGTAGGGGATTATCAATGAGCCAGCACTTACTCCTTTGGGATATTAAAACAAACAACCAAATATCTAGGTAAATGTGAAAAGAAAAAGCCTGGCTTGAAGCAATAGTAAGCCTACTTCCAAACTGCTTTACTCTTCCTAGTTGCCACTGATTACTTAAGAAAGCCTGGATACAATGAATAAGATCAACAATATAAACAGGAGAATGCAACTGACAGGATAAAAACAACTGAGTTGATGAAGGTAAGAAAAATAGCATTAAGACAGCACTGAGTGCAAAAGGAGGAATATGGATTTAGAAGAAACTAAAAATATGTTTAAAGGAGAACCACAAAATTGGGATGGGGAGGAACTAAGTATCTTTTTTTCTAGAGTCCATAAAATGTCTAAAAATCTGTGATATGTGACACTAAACTTTTGGCTCATACCTGTGCAGACTTACTGTTTTCCTACTGACGTCATTAGTAGACCAAACATTGTTTCATTTACAATTTTAATTTTGGATGTAGTATAACACCCTTTTTTTCATCTTATATGCTAAGTTTTCTATGGCATATCATTTTGAAAAAAAAAATGAAAGTTCATTTAGACAAACAATGGAATTAAAATCTTCAAAGTCAGTTCTAGGCAGGAACACAAATAAAATGGAAAACCTATACACAAGTAGAGAAAACCTGCAGTAGCCATTAAAACCTAAAACTAACAAAATATTCCAAGTAAGACCAAATCTAGAGCTCTGAACTACATACTTGACATTTCCATGGCTACTTTATAAATTAAAATACACAATTAAGAGTTGCTATGGAGACCAACCTCTGTAAATAGACTATTTTCCCATAATCATCTGCTCAGAAACTAACATTTCTTATGTTCGTTCTCCTTGAAGGAACCTTAAGGACAATGTTCTTATCTAGCCATGAGCTATCTAAGTAAAAAGCACGTGCTTTAAAATTACTGCTATGTCCAAGGGACCTTAAACCAAACTTGAACATGATTCTGAAGTTATATCTACAGTTTTAACTTCTATTTGGATTAACAGAATCCTAATAAGCATTATATAGCTGGACACAATTATATAAACATTAGGGTATTATCTACAGTACTTTAAAAGCAACTGGCTTAGATTCTAAATTTACATTATATAGTATTTTACTGTGTAAGAAGCATTCATTTATCTCCTACAAGAGTAAGAAAAACTATAATCACTATAGGTCAAATTCTATTATTTCACTGGTACTATAATAGCCAATGGTTATTTATTTGAAACACATGACCCAATTTGTTAAAATCCTGCAGGTCTAAGTACAAATTTTACAGATTAGCTGCACAATGGGAG